CAGATCGGACTGGGATCGAGCAACGCCATACGGTGTGCAGCCAAGATGTTGGAATTTGCAGGATGGAGTATAATTTTTATTAATGAAAAATGAAAGCCCGTAAAAACCGAAGCCCAGGTCATTATTCATTTTTATTCATTTTCCCAGCCAAACAGCCAAAGCACTCCATGACCATGACCAACTCGAGCAACAGCAACAACAACAACGATGATGTTGTTGACGAACTGGACTTACTCAAGATTGTAGAGGCACGGTCAAAAGGAGGTACTTGCTCGTCCCCTGTAGTTGAGGATGAACGCCACGCATTACTGAACAAGGCAGAGGACGATCGTGTGGCAACGTCCTCTTCAAGACCTGCTGCAAATCGAACATTTCCTACAACAACTCGCCGAAGGCGACGGCAGCATGGCGCTGCTACTCGACGCAGAGGAGCGCCAAGTCGTGAAGTTTCTAGCGATGGAGCGGCAGCTGACGAAGAACTAGAAATGGTCAAGATTCTAGAGGCCAGGGCGAGAGTGACAGCTCATCAATACAATGCTGCCTCTTATAGTGAAGACGATTCTCGTGTCCAAGTAGCACCAAGTCACTACACCTCCAACGCCATCCTGAGAAATAGAAGAGATGCACTGGAAGATGATGGCGATGACCCTGAAATTCTAAAAATTGTCCAGGCTAGGACAGAAGAGGCCAATCAACAAGAAGAGAAGACAGAAGAATCGGCCAGTGCCTCTGGCAATGCAAGCCTCGAGACCAATGCACAATCACCTTCTTCCAGCGCCACCAAGTCTAGGCCAGGTGCTTATGCAGGAGCACCTGGAGTTGCCTTGCAACGGGTTGACACAATGCGGTATTCTCGACTTGGAGTTGGTCAAGCAGTATCCATGTCATCTGGGATGTCAGACATGGACACCAGCCAAAAATCTATAGACTTTCAAGCTGCTGGCGTTCATGGTAGTCAATCTGGTCTGATGGTTGCCAATCTGGTTACCGAATCAAGCCACCAACATCTGCCATTGGCTGAAGAATTGGAATTTAACGTTGAGAATCATATTGAAAAACAGAAGGCTGAGAGTAAGAGACGTGCCTTGATAAGTGCATTCAAATGGCTGACTGTGGGAGTGGTTGTTGTTGTGGTGATTGTCCTGGCAGTGGTGCTTGGAACCAGAAAAAAGACACAACCAACAACAGCAGCGGAATCTCAAATGGCATCCAGTGAACCATCCGCCTCCGTGATGCCCTCATTCTTCCCATCATCCCCGCCCAGTAAGGCACCATTGTCATCAAGATTAGCCATCAAAGGGCTCCCAGAAAGTACAGCTGAGGCAATTGGTAGGCCTGGTTCCCCACAGCAACAGGCTTATGACTGGACATTTCGACATCCAGAATTTGATGGCATGCCAAATTGGCGGAAGCAGCAACTGTTTGCATTGGGAACCTTCTACTTTTCATTTGAGAATTGGCCTGATGATCACCATTGGATGGACTATGGTAACTCGGAATGTTTCTGGACAACACAATTAGATTCAGCCCAGGTCAATCCCTCAACATTTGATGTAATGCCTGAAGGGTATTTCATTCGCACCTGCCAAATGGCTTCAAGTATTTCCATGAACTATCCAGATCCTTGGGTCTCCAACTGCAACGATGAAGGCCATTTCTACTACATGAAGCTCAAGCTCTCCACTTGGGATGCCCCGCCTGTTCATGGGACCCTGCCACCTGAAGTATTCCTCCTCACTGGAATCACAATGTTTGATGTTCGTGATGCTAAAATTAGTGGAACTATCCCTTCAGAAATTGGCATGCTTTCCCTACTCACAAATCTGAGATTACACGGCACTGGGATCTCCGGTGCCATCCCATCAAGCATTGGACAGACCAACCTGACTGGGCTCCACTTGAATGACAATGCCATTTCTGGCTCCTTGCCATCTGAGTTGGGCTTGTTACCCTTCCTTGAACGCATGGATTTGCAGTCTAACAACATTTCTGGCACATTGCCAGCTGCTCTGGGCAATTGTACCAGTCTGGTTATACTAGATGCCAGAAACAACTCTCTGACAGGACTTTCTCCAGAAATTGGGTTATTGACAAGCATTCAATACTTGCTGCTTCGAGACAACAAAATCAAGGGAACGATTCCCAGGTAGGTTCCTGTTTACTTGGATGTGCAGACTGGTTTAAATTCGAGGATTCTGACAAACGCTTTTACTTCTTTGGCTTGTCTTAGCGAAATTGGGCTCTTACCTAACTTGGAATATCTTAGACTTGAGCGAAACTCAATCACAGGAGCTTTCCCTTCCAGCTTCAATCAGTCTAGTGTAATTCAAATGGATTTGCAGGGCAATCAACTCTCTTATATCCCAAGTGAGATTGGTCTCATTGGTAATCAGATTGGACAGCTGGATCTCAGCAACAACAAAATAGCCAGTTTGCCAAGTGAGCTGTTTCTCTTGACAAGCCTTTCTGTGCTTCAGCTTCACGGAAACCAAATAGAGCAATTGCCAAATGAAATTGACCAGATGACGAATCTGGAGCCTTGCTACGACTCCATAGATGGCTGGCTGTCATTGTCAAACAACAAGCTTTCTTCAATACCCTCAGAAATTGGAAAACTGACAAATCTGCGGACTTTAACTATGCAAAGCAATCAGATCTCATCATTTCCGGATGTGAATTGGTCCAACTTGACAAACTTGCTGTCCATCCAGCTCTCTCACAACTTGCTGCATTCTACAATTCCATCAGAACTTGGCCTCCTTCAAGAGCTTCTGAAGCTGGACCTGTCAAACAATGCCTTGATTGGGAGCGTACCTTCAGAGCTAGGGGAGATCTCGGCAAGTGTGGAATCATGGAATAACACACTTGGTGAATATGTTTCACAGGATGTACGACGGTTTCGAACGCTCATTTTGAGAAACAATCAACTAAGTGGTTGGTTGCCATCTGAGCTCCTCCTCTTGACAGAATTGGAAACTCTTGATTTCTCAAACAATTCTATGACCGGGCCTATGATGACAGAGTTGGGCAAGCTGACAAGTTTGCAATTGGTGGACTTTTCATTCAACCAAATCTCTGGTCCGATCCCAACGGAAATCGGGCAGATCTTGACCACAGTTAGAGGTCAAGCGGCATCCCTGATTCAAACACTTGATCTGAGCAACAACCAGCTGAGTGGATGGTTGCCATCAGAACTTGGCCTTTTGACAAGCTTGGAAACCCTGGATTTGTCATTCAATAGCCTTACAGGATCCATTCCCAGTGAGCTTGGAAATGTGAATGCATTTGGAAGTGCAATCATGTTGCTGGGGAATGACTTTTCTGGGAGGCTTCCAGAGACTTTGTGCCCCTGGTATTGTGCAGCTGAATCGTGCTCTTTGGAATCAACAGCCACATCGAATGCCAGTGATATCTTTGCGAAGGATGTGGCCACTACAGACTGTAACATGCCGACTTTGTTTGAAGTTGACTGCTCTTCTGAATCCTTGCTCAACTGCACCGTTTGTTCTTGTGCGTGAGATCACCCAGTGGAATTGAAGTACAGGTGGCTGGCAGGAAGTGTCCGCGAACTGACCCACAGGATTCCCACGGGGTTTGTCTGATTGGATCATTTTCGAAATGTGCCTACAGTACTGTATTACCTTTTTATCCCCTTCAGGGAACTTGGACTGGGGAGATTGCCCAACCAAGATTGACTAACTCCCACGAAATGACGAGTAAGTGTGACCTACGGCGAACCTCGGATCTTCACTTGGTGCTCTATTTACCACGTCATCGGCTCGAATTTCTGAAAACGACTGACAGCCGACAGCAACCACAAACACCAAGCACCACATTGTCATTACGCCAGCTCATCATTGCACCAAACGGTACTAGCTAGTTCATGTATGTAGTGCTCAAGTTATTGTAGATCACAACACAGCAATCCACTTATCACTTCTTATCTACACTCTTACTACCGTATATCTGATCTGTGAAGCAGCCATGAAGTCATCGATCCTTTTGGCTACAGCAGCCGTCTGCTTGGCGCTTTCTTTCTGCGCAGAACAAATTTCAGCCTTTGCTCCGTCGTCAACGGGATCTTATCGTCAATCGACGAGCCTTTCGGTATTTGGAAAGAAATCTGGTGGTGTTGGCGGCGGTATCAAGCCAACGTTTGATGCAGCGAGCGGAAAATGGCAAAAGGGTCCAGATGATGATGGTGTTTACGCCTACGACGCTGTCGGTGCCTTATTGCGATACGGGCCAGGTCCATTCATTAAGCGAACATTCGATGCTGACGGATATGAACAGGAGATATTGAACTTCATGGCAGCGTCTGGTTGTGACCGTTCGGAAGCGACTGGTAATATGGATTTCAAATTCGATAATGCCGCAGATTGGATGTATCGAAAGGTGGAAGAAAAGAGGACGGGGAAAAAGATTGATTTGAACTATCTCGATAAGAAAAAGGCTGCCTTGACTATAATTTGGGCACTCGGAATTACGCCAATGGCATTCTATGTCGTTTCTGAAACTGTTAGACAATTCTGAAGAAAAAAGATGATAAAGAACGCTTGCTCCTTGCAACTGCGACTAGATATATCTTATTGGCTGCTATCCTACTTTAGGTTACGCACGGTAACATGTTTTAGGTTTTCGTGGTTTTCTGACATTTATGTAGGTGTACGTGTAGTTTTAGGTGTGGTTAGCTACAGTAGGATAGATACGACAATCACACCAATGAAAGCAACGAGGAAACGGCAATCGATGCCCCCTCCACGCCGGTGATGACAATCGACTGTGTTAGTCTCGCAGGTTTTGTGGTACAAGTTTTCCATCCTCATGCGACGGTGAGAGAAAATATTCAACAAGCAGGAGCATACCGTGTAGCTCAACAATGGTTGCCATCAGAGCTCCATCAGCCAAAACGACCCTGGCGGCCTCGACTGGTCAATCCGTGCTTTCGAACCTGCCAAAGCATCCACCCAAGGCCAAACCAGAAATGCCCTAGTGCGGTTGATGCCCATTGGCGAGTGTGGAAACTTGAAGAGCTATCGGAACGAAGGCTGTTAGGTTGATACCGTGACTAACACTGAGAGTTGCCGAAGAAAGTGTTCGATGCCACGCACATGTACCGGTACCAGGTACGGTAGCTGGACACTTTGTAATTCCTACCGGTAAGTTAACATACCGGTACGGTAGCTGGACAGAGATCTATTGCTTTCAAAATCGAAATTTGGTCTATTGTTTCCGTCTAACGCTAAGCACTCTGGGCAGGCACGGTGGCCGCCACCTCATCGTTAAAGCCCTCAAATATGCCCATCCCGCTTCTAGAACCATTTCCGGACTGGTCAAGCCCAATACCATCACCCATATTGCTCTCGTCTCTCAGTTCTGAGCGATTGCGACGGCGCTCTCTTCTGGATTCTCTGGTAGGCTCCAGAGTCCCTTCCATCAAAGCAGGAGTGACTGGAATCAACAAATCCGCAAAAGGTCGAATAAAGCAGTTGGTGAACGCCTTTCTCGCACTCATCTCTTTCAGCAACGCGTCATGGTAGTGTTGCATGTAGGCCTCAACAGATGCTGCCCTCAGGACATGCTTGGGGTACAAGTAGCGTTTGAATTCCTTCTCCTGTTCAACCTTTTGTGCCATGTAGCTTCGTTTTGGCCAAGGTCGATCACCTGCCAAGAGGCCTGCCAGCCAGTATGCTTGGATGTAGGAGGTATAGATATTCATGAATGTCAAAGTGTTCGATCCCACAAATGCCAAGCCCTTGATCTTAGGGGGCAAGACATTGCGGTAGAGCCATAGACCATCATCTTCAACATCCAAGTCTTTCAGAACTGTGTCCCTGTCCATGATCGTATCAAATCCAAGCTTCCAACCAGTGGCCTGAACCACAACATCCACATGCTCTTCATCACCATTACTCAAGATGGCCTTGCGGTCAGCAGTGAGACGTTCTACGGTGGCAATTCTCATATCAATTTCGCCAGTGCGTAGTCTCTTCAAGTGCGCCTCCTCTGTGATCAAGACAGACACATCCAATGTTCCTCGGAGGATAGTACCTAAACGTGGCTGGAGGCGCCATGGCAAACGGTACTGTATCAATAACAACAACTCAATGATTCGCCAGAGGAACCATTTAATAGGCGCAAAAAGGAGGTGCAGGAAAACCAAGAACCAATTGCTGCTCTCATAGTATCTTGGGAGGAGCGAAGACCCTAGTCGGGTATGGAAGAGCCACTTGTATTGGAAGGTGCCCACGATGAAGCGAGGGACATACCAGGCAGCCTTTCGGGCAACCTGGATTGGAGGTTTGCCACCCTGCTCTTTGGCAATCAAGGCTGCAGTAGTGGCAGCATCAACAGCACTCTTTCCATTGCCAATGATGAGGACTTTTTGATCTTCGTAATGGAATGTCTCACCTTTGCGCTGTGAAGAATGGATGATCTCTCCACCGTTCCATTCAAAGTCAGCGGCACCGGGAATTTCAATCATGTGAGGCTTGACAGATACAATCCCAGTGCACATGATGACAAACGAGAACGTTTTCATCTTTCCATCATCAAATTCAATAGTCCACTCGTTCTCTGACACAGGTCGAATGTCTTCAATCTTGGTGTTGAAACGAAACTTGTGCCCCATCTTCTTCTCTGCGATGAACTCTTCCAGGTAAGTGCACACTTCCTCTGCCGTGGGGGCAGCGGGCTCCTTGCGGTTGCGGATACGTTCGGGGAATCGTTTGCATGGGAATTCATAGAGCTCAAAAGTGGACTGGACTGAACTCCACAGCAGGGAAAGAGAAGATAAGCTGAAGTGAGGGCACAGCGGGTGGATCGCTTCAATGACTCGACTGTCAATCGTCTGGGCGATCTTTTGGCTCACCTTTGGCCCCAGGGTAGTTATCACTCCACAAACCTCCAACTTTGGGGTTTTTGTCATAGACTACAAAATCAATCTTTTGGTCTCGGAGGGCAGCTGCCATGGCACATCCTAATGATACAGTACGGTATACCGGTAGAGTCACCAGCGATGTGAGTTACGGTTGGATGACTCCAAGAAGAAGGAAGAAAAGCGTACAACTCTAAACTAACCTGCAACACCAGCGCCAACGATTGCAACCCGATCTGTCCTCTTCTTCTTGGTCCTTCGTCCGCCCAAGCGAAGGCGGTTGGAAGATCCATCCTTTCTGATACTGGTACTAGCGTCGGCCATTGCTTGATTTGGATTGTGAATTGGGAATTGTGAATTAGATGAAGCATGTAAAAGTTGTGTGGCGCTGAAGTTGGTCTGAAGTCTGGGGCCGCCCATACAAGTCGACTGGGCTTGGCCTGCATCCTGCATGGCCCTCTTTTAAAATAGCCCAATGGCCACAGACAACACGTCGTTTGCAAAAATACAGTATTGTTCCGTACTGTACTAGTAGCTAGTACTAGCTAGCTACTGGCGGTACAGTACTTGGTAGCCCTAATGCGTGAAAAGTGCGCATGTCCTTGACAACACGTTTCAGTACCGGGTACCAGTATGCTTGTTATATTAAAATAGTTAGTACTGGTACAGCTCTAATACGTGTTAGCGTGTTAGCTCGTGTTACACAATGCAGTGCATGCACACCCATTAAATGTTTTAAAGCAACCTGAACCTGTATTCGAAGTAAGACGAAAGCAATAAGAAAAGCACTCGCAACCGTGTCCAGACACTAATTCCAACTTTTCGCAGAGGGATTTAACATCAAGATCACTTTTACTTCTCTTTTACGATGTATGTGCTGGCATCCTGCATTCGTTTGCTTTCGTCCTTCGTTCCACACCGCTCCACAGACTTCGTGCCGCCGCGGTAGAAAAGAGCTGTAAAAGTCACTTTCCACCTTTTAAACTCACTTGACCTTGAAACTTGAAACTTCAACACTTCCCAGCTCTGCCCCAAAATCGATCTCTGCAAGCTGCAAGGTCCCCAAACCCCAATGATGTTTTGAAATTTTTCAAACAGTTTAGTTTCTCATTTTTAGTTTTAGTTTTCTCATTTTTAGTTTCTCAAATTGAAAACTAATGCTCATAACTGATAAAATAGTTTCTCATTTCTGGCAGAAATCACAACACATGTACTAGCAGTTTCATATATAGTTTCTCATTTCAAAGATAGTTTCTCATTTCAAACAAATGAGAAACTAACTTTCTCATTTCAGAACTTAGTTTCTCAAATGAGAAACTAATTTCAAATTTGAGAAACTGTCAAAAAAGGATGCAGTCTGGTTCCTGACCTTGCTGGTCGGATGGTGGATGGTGGATGGTGGATACCTACCAGTACACCAGGAGAGCCCCTGAAACGCACGCGGTTGTATTATACGTAAAACATTTTCACTATGTATTCTACAGATCATACGTATTACACATATAACCTTTTTAATATGTATTGGACAAGTATACGTACAACACAAGTAACACAAGTGGAAAATATTATACGTATTACATGCATTTGTGTTGTACGTGTTTTACGTATAATACATAGTGACGATTTTTTGCTAAGTTTTTTTGCCAGGTGTTTTGCTAGGTGTTTGGGAGCAGAGAGGAAGATGCACTGTTTGCAGGCCATAATACCTGAGCTTATCAAGTAAAATGGACTTTACCTACTGAACTCTCCCATGTTGCTAGATACAATATATCAATGATGAAGAATGGACTCCTGCTTCAATCATGTGAATGTACAACCTCACTAACTGATGATACACCAAAGGAGATAAACATTATGGTATACTCTGGGGTTCGATAATTATCGAATGGAGAAATCGAAGGTGTATTGGCTACCTTCGATGTATCAATCTTGTGATTCGGCGCATATTAAAGAAGTTTTGATGCCATACTTTGTACTTTCTTGCAAGACTGCTGGATTCCGTATCAAAACAAGGGTGCACTACGCTAAAAGCTAGTGTAAAGATCTTTCGAGTGTTTTGAGTTGAAGAGAATGAAATTATAGAGTTAGAAAGCTATGAAAACTAATCAACGAGAGAGTCCCAATCAAAGGATCGTAGATCTGAACCCGCGGGAGACTGTAGATGTGATAGAGTAGGTTGCGGTAGCATCCTACTCACTCCACGATCCAAAAACGGAACGCGTGGAAGATTCGTTAGATTTATCTAGTAGCGTGAATCTCTCACGCCGCTAAATATCTAGCGCGAGTTTCACCATCGACCTAGTATGACTAGCGGTCATGAGACCCTGTCTCAAATGACTATTCACGAAAGACTCAGTCAGAGTCGAACTCAAACCCTATCTAGGATCGAGTCGCGAATAACTAAGAGCGTGTATTGCAAGGGATTCGATAAGAGGCGGAATCACCATTACCATATGTTGTCCAAGAGTCGTTTTTACAAACAAAGGTCCCAAAGGAGCAGCAACAAACCACCCAGACTCAGCTTCCTGTGAGGGGGAGGGTGTCAAACGTCCATTCTCTTTCAATGTTCTATATAGCCAGGAACACAGACGATGGTATCTCCCAAGTTCCAGACAGGCAACAAGCTTCATCGTGGCCATGTACAACTAGAAGATGCACAAGTGAAATGTTAAGTACTCATCTTGCACAGAAGCCGTTACACTAGCGGAACAATGCCTAAAGAACCATCTCTCGCCAAGTGTTGTTAAACTTTACTTTATGAACGGGCAGGCTCATCTCTCAACTCGAAACAAACGAATCCTAAGATCCTGCAATCAAAGGAGGTCTGTCTTTGGTGAAGCAACGTCCTATCTCTCACATATCACATCTAGG